ATATGTCAGCGTCGTTGGATAGTGGTGAGCAATCCTAGCTTGTGTTCAATCATTTCAAAATGGCTTGGGACAGAAGCATGGATCCGTAATGTTGACCTCATAGCAGGTTTAAGAGAATATGCAGAAGATCCTGATTTACACACTGAATGGAAGAATGTATGAGATCTTTCTTTGCACTCTCAATCTTGAAAAGAGTAGTTGCTTATTTGCTTTGCAGTCTCTAATACATTTTGACTTCTGACTTGTAGATGAAGAGAGTTAACAAAATGAGGCTTGCTGAGTACATAGAAACACTTACCAGTGTGAAGGTTTCTGAACATATCAATTTCACTTCCTTCTTTGCAAGAAAACTCGCACATCTGTTGTCGCCTGACCAAGCTATATACCCTATATTTCAGGTCAGTTTGGATGCAATGTTCGATGTGCAGATAAAACGAATACATGAATACAAAAGACAACTGCTCAACATATTAGGTATCATCCACAGATATGACTGCATTAAGGTATCCTTTCTTCTCCTTAGAATAATATTCCTGAGCCAAACCTGACTGTTTAGAGATATAACCACATATTCATGTACTTCCTAAACTAGTATGTAATTTAAGTATCACCTTGTTCAGAAGATGTTTCAGGCAGGCCAGCTTTGGTAAATATGAAGTGGCTTAAAAAGTGCCAAGACAAAAAACTTTCTACATCGATGTGTATCACCAACATCTTTTTTTCTTTTTTGGAGTTCAAACTCTGAATCTTTGAGCCTAAAGACACTTATTTTTGCTGACGCTGGTTCAGATATTATATGGAATCAAGCCATGGGCATTTGTCGTGGACTTATATGCTTATGTGCAAGGCCAAATACAAGCCCACGGAAACTAAGTTTAGTTGTTGTTAAACCAGATTAGAAACCAAGCTATTTTCGAAAATAGAACTGAACACATGATTTCACCACCAGCTGTGAAAAGTATCAAGACTAGTTGAAACACTTGTCTTAGCTAAAAAATTTCTTCTTCTTGCCCTATGAATCTTTGTTTTTGTCCAGTGACCTGATATTCTTTATCTTTTTTTTTCCTGTCATTTCTTCTATAGAATATCACGTATGCTCCAAAATCTCTTTTGCTACATATAAAATATCCAACTTACCTTGTTTATTTAGAATATGAGTATGCCTATTGAGTATCATCTAATTTCTTGGAGAAGCTCCTGTAGTTCCATATTTTTCTTCACAATTCTGTTGAACTATATTATTTTTCAAAAAAAAATTCTACTTAACTGTATTAGAAAAATTATCTCCCTATACATTTATAGTCATTATTTTTTGAAGAATATGGATGAAACTGACAAGCGAAGAGTTGTACCTCGTGTATGTATAATTGGTGGGAAAGCTGCCCCTGGTTATGAAGTTGCAAAGAAGATAATCAAACTTTGTCATGTGGTGGCTGATAAAGTTAACAACGATCCTGATGTTGGGGATCTCCTGAAAGTGGTAGGACAATGATTTGATTTATTTGTTTGAAACCTCAATAAAGTATGGTCTCGTCATGTTTATATGAAACCATTGTCCATGCTTTGCTCTTTGAAATTTGGAGCTTGTCCATTCAGAAACTTCATCTACTTTTGGAAATACTACATGGGGTGATGAAAAGAAATTATAAAAGAAAACAGAAGGGAAGGGAAGAGAATAGCAAGAAGGTTCTAAGCATTACTTTCTTAGGCCCTAACAATCTGCCCCATAAACCATCTCCTGAAATGATGTATTCATTTCATTGTCGGCCCTAATTGGAAAATTTTGAGGAAAGTTATTGAAAACACTTTTACTATTTGGCTGCAGAATTTCGAAATTGTTAGGTTTCATAAGACTTCACATCACTGTCATGTCATTGATCTAAAAAAAGTTGTCTGGGTTTATTCTATATGTCATCCTTGCTTTCTTTTCCCCATCCCTATTGACAGTTCATGTGCACTGTTCTTGGACTGTCAGCATAAATGTAGTAAAAGAATTTATACTTCCAGTTTTTGCTGTCATTATAGATAGCAGGACTCAACAGAAATGGACTCGTCTTCTGTCGTTTCAGGTTTTCATCCCTGATTATAATGTCTCTGTTGCCGAACTAGTAATTCCAGGGAGTGATCTTTCACAGCACCTAAGGTTGCATTCTCTTTTCTTTTTTAAAAAAATTCTTTTAACAGATGCACTGCTTGCTTCAGCTGGTATCTATTACTCCAGTATTCACAGTTCCCTCCAAAGCTTGATGAACCAGGAATTTTCATGTACAAATGTGTGCAAACAACTAATTGAAATCATGTGTATATGATGCAGTACAGCTGGACATGAGGCATCTGGAACTGGGTGTATGAAGTTTTTGATGAATGGTTGTTTATTATTAGCAACGGCAGATGGCTCAGCAGTTGAAATTGCTGAAGAAATAGGGGCAGAAAACATGGTAAGTAGTGTTAGGAATCTTCTACAGACTGTTTCACCTGATGATAACTGCACTTGTTCACAGTGTGGTTAGAAGGTTATAATCTACATTGAGCAACCACGCCGAGACTTCATGTACAGAGATAATTTGTGAAATAAATATTTGTTTTGTTATTTTATTTGTTTTGTTAGTTCATCTGAAATAGGCTTAGGCTTCTTTTCCAGGTTTCCACTTTTCAAATGCTTTCAAATGATTGAGCAATTGACTGAGTAGTAACAGTAGACGCATGTAAATGATTGATAAAAAGAACAAACAAAAAGATAGACCAAGTGTCATGGGATATGTTCCCCTCAATTGATTCTACTTCCTTGTTTGATATCTTTATTTTGATCTTTCCTTTTGCTTTTTGTTCTCCAGTTTCTTTTTGGAGCAAAGGTGGATGAGGTTCCAGCATTGAGAGAAAAAGGAACCACTCTCAAAGGTTCACTTCAATTTGCACGAGTTGTGAGGTATGCGGTGTAGTTTGAGAAATCTTTCCCTCGGCATTTACGGTCTATTCTCTGTATCTATCAGATTGTTCACAATGAACAATCTGCTGCTAGCAGCCTTTTCGTTTCTGTTGTGTGCCACAGGAATGTGGCCGTAGTCTAGATAATCATCGGATATGGTCTTTTCTCTCTCTCTCTCCAGTCACATTACTCTTTGTTTTTTCACCACCAAGATCGTCTATACCATGTCTCATCCACTGGTGTGATTGTAGAAGCTGATGGCCATATCTTTTTGCCACACCAATGATCTTATGATGTGGCATCACTCATCCCCACTTAAATTTTCTCTACTTCTCCTTAACATAAATGAGTTGGTTCTTGGAGAATCATCCTAACAATAGGGTTCATATTCCATCTGAAGTATTTCCTGTCCTATTTGCAATTTCAATGCAGTTTGGCAGTTATGTAGCTGCCCGCTGCTGTAAGCATGAGTGTGCATTGTTGACATGCAACCTTTAGTCTGAAACACATCTAGAGAGAATTGGTTAAAGCTTTCTATGTGATTATCTGTATGATGTTGCATATTAAATGACCATGTACTTTGTTCTCTTCTCCTTTTCTTTTTGTTTCTATGTGGCACTTTATTTTAGACAAGGAATGTGCTTGTTTCTCTTTGTGTATGATCGGCGTACAGTGAAGTGGTCCTCTATGTTTAGGGTAATGTCAGGTATGGTAAAAAGATTTTGAATGGACATATAGTGCCATAACTTTCCATATGCCTTCCTATTTCACAGGAAATCTTGATTATCACAGATAATTAATACAAGCAAACAACATAAAGAAGTCAGACGGAAAGTACTGTTATCATTGTAAATTGTAATATAGCTCTGCGGTTGAAGCTTTCCTGCTGACATGCATAAAGAATTTATTGAAATTTTAACCCACTGTTTTCTTTGCAAAACTGGAAAAGGAACTTGTGAAAAATGAAAACCAATAGAAAGGAAATAAAAGTGGTGTTTTATTGCCAGCTAGAGTGCGATTACCTTGATCAGCTCACTCTGCAAGATCACTGAAATGAAGCTTATCGTGTAATGATCATATTCAGTGGAATGCAATATGCTAGGCTCCTGAAAAGTTAAAAGAGTTTTTAGCTGATTTCATTGCACTCTATGTGTAGGATGGTGCGGGATGGTTACTTTGGCCTCAAAGATTACTTCAAGTCGTTATGCGACACTGTAGAGGATGGTGGAGACTTTTATCTCCTGGGATATGATTTTGCTAGCTATTTAGAGGCACAGGTAATCTGTTATTGCAAATACAAATACTCCTGTTAGAAATGTTCATTTGAAACTGACAGAACATGATGATGACAGGCTGCTGCGGATAGAGCATTTGTTGATCAAGAAAAGTGGACCCAAATGAGCATACTGTCTACTGCAGGTTCTGGAAAATTCAGCAGCGATAGAACCATAGAAGAATACGCACAGCAGAGTTGGGGCATCGAACCCTGCAAATGCCCCTTCTGATTTGCAAAACATCGCCTTTCATGCAGAACTAACATGGCTTTACTAACCGTGCATCCTAATCTGGGAATTGAAGAACCAATGACTGCAAGAAACATTCTAAGGAAGCTCTTCCTAATCTGGCAATTGAAGAACCAATGACTGCAAGAAACATTCTAAGGAAGCTCTTATCTGCAGTTCATCTGTATTTCTTTTTGGAATGCTGATGTAACATGGTTATTTTTTGACAGTTTATTTATTTTTCAACTTGTGGTATGCAAAATCCACAATCATAGGATCTTGAATCACAGACTTTCATGTACATGGTTCATAGCAATGTCCACCATCACACATGGAAATAAATTACAAGAACATATATGAAGATGCAAACGATTATTGGGCAATGACACTTCCAGGAAGTTATTTCCAAAATGGCTTCCTTTGCTCATATCTCTTTCGTATTTAAATTTGACTAATTACAAGGTGGAGAGGTTATTTTCGAAAAATATTCAAGTTACAAATTTTTGATAAATCTAACTATTTTTGATAGTTTAAACATATTTTTGAGGGTTTTCGATCTTAATATAATTACCGAATCAAACCATTAAGACCGCAAGGAAGGGGCAAAGAGTAAGCGAGTAGTCGTATTTTAGCAGCAGCTCTTCAGCATTCAGTACGAAAAACTAAAATGGAGATGACAATCTTCATAATTTTGTTCACCGCCCCATTTACTGCTCTCACAGCTTCGACGGCGGCTCTTGTACCTCCGGACGAATCTCAGATTCCGTCTTCATCTGGTCAGCAGAATCAGAATTCGGTGATCTACGAATTGCAAGAAGCGAAGATCAAAATCGCTCGATTAGGTTATTTCCTTATCCTCTCCTCATCAGTCATAGTTTTCGCCATTGAAATTTCGAGCTTGATATAGCTCAATGGTCAATGCTTATATTTCTTGCGGTTTATTCAAGTGCATAGAAATATAAGTAAATTGCATTTACTTGTAATTACTCGAACACACGTTTTTAAAAGAACTGCATTTTCATGAAATTAGATTGAGAGAAGTGAATTTGGATTTGTACCAAGTCGTATGGTTATTGCCGATATTGTAGGAACTGGAATTGTATATGATATTAAGAAGATAACTTGGAAACAACAGTTTTAACTACGAGCAGCTGTAGAGGGGCAAAAAAAAATGTTAATCTTTAGAATGGGAACTGACTATATCTATTACTAATTTTTTGATTGAAGTGACTACAATGCATGGGTTTATTGCTAGAAGAAGGATAGCCCAAAATCATTTTCCTGCTCATGGATTATATGGATTTCAGTAAATTTTTCATTAAAAACTGGTTGGTGTGAGTGCTTCATTTCGTAGACAGGCTCTTTTATCCGCTCCTTATTTATAACTATTGATCAGTGGGTGAAAGATTTGACTGGGTTATCTTGTATGATTGGAATATGTGATTATAAGCTTGTCACTACATAAGAGACCAGCATGAAGGTGACATGTATAAAGCTTGAATAACTTGATATTAGTCAAATCTCAATTACTTACCAAAAAAAAAGTCATATCTCAATTGAACAAGGGAATTTTTTTATGTCCTGATACCTTACAATTTTCTGGCATGCTAAGAAGCCTTATTGAGACATCGTATTTAACATGTGCATTGAAAAATGTTAGTATTTCTTTTCTTTTTCCTTTCCTATTAAATTTGCATTGAATTGTAAAGTCAGATTCCTATATTTTTTTATTTTGTGTCCCTAATGGAGCTTCCAGCTTGAATGAAGGGCCTGTGTTCGAATTAAGCTTGTGTTCTGATAAATACGTGTGTTTTTCAGAATTCTATGAGATCAATATGAGTTTTATCATGCAGTTCTAGGTCTTCTATGCATTAGATAAAGATATCCATTCAGTGGAATTTTTCATGAGAAGTATACTATATCTTCGCCTGCTATTTATTATTCTACAAGGTCCTGTAAAATTTTAACATTGGTGCGTCTAATTGCAGAATCCATCCTTGATGAAAGCATGCCAAATTTAAATGCTAAAATCCAATACATCAGAGAAACCGAGAAGAAAATCGAGGACATTAGTGTAGAAATTGACAATCTTACAACTGCTTTGTCCAAATTGCAGGTTGGTTTTTGGCTAGTTTCCAGTTTCTCTTATCTGCTAATATCTGACTTAGATCTTGTGTTATTATGAGTAGGATCTAAATTTGTTGAGGACTTGAGGTGTAATAGGTTGATATTTAGTGACAGTAATGGAAGGGACTGACCAGGACCTTGTGGTCTAAGGTCTTTAAGTATTTCAAATGAACTTGGTATGGGAAGCAGATATGGCGTACCACCAGAAATGTTATACCTCCAACTACTTCGCCAAATGTTTTGTTTCATTTGGTTAGGTTTGCAGAATATTTTCTATTATTAAGGGAAGATGTTCATTGAAAAACCAATGCCTCGAAATAGCTGAAAGAAACCATTAGATTATCTCCCTTTTATCAACTTAGTAATGCCAGACATATTTTGATATGCTATGCTAATAACCTAAACAGTATTGCCCTAATTTCCTTGTATGATTCTGATAATTTCGTTACTAAAAATGGGAAGTTCTGGGACTATTAAGGTTGTTTGGCTTTGTTGTTGCTTATCAGTTTGTGAACTCCTAGTCCATTTTTGATTCACATGATCGTACGTAAAAGAGGTGGTCTCCAATTCTCTGTCATTTTATTGAATATGATTCCAAAAGCAGCTTTGCAGTTATAGTAATTCTAATTTCTTGCTTTGGTCTTTCATTCGGTCACCTAATATTGTCTGGCCTTAAGTAGGTAAATGGGCATGCCTTCATGGGAATTGTGCTAAATATTACTAAAGCGTCTATAATTGATACACCAACCTATAAGTGAAATTCGTTTCAATTAGAGAAAATGGAAATAAATGATACACATTCATTCCTCATAAATGTACCTTTCTCTCTTTTCTTCAGCATCACTCATCAAGGATTAGTGCTCTAGAAGAAGAGGTATGATTGTCACGTTAACGCAAATTTTTTTCTCCTTACAGTTTCTCATCTTATAAAAATGAAGGAATTGAGTAGGTACAACTGCTTTGGGATGTGGCAAGAAAAAACAACTTTGAAATTCATAAGTTGGAGTTCAAAGCACAAGATGTGGAGAAAAGATTAGAAGTTCTTACCTCTCAAGTCGAAAAGGTAGGTTTGCTAAAGCCATGAGTAAACAATTTTAGTAATTAATGTTTTTCTAGTGCTGGTCAAGTGGAATAAAGTAAATTATTTTAAAATGTTGAGTATTCTTTCATGATCCTGAGAATGAGATTTCTGTAGAAGTGTTTTGAGACATCTTTATTGTTTACTAGGTAACACGATGCTTAAGATTTCTCTTCAGTTGAAGAAATCATCTTCTTTTTATTATTATAACCTAGAAATCTCTGAAGACCCATCAAAAGCACAGTTGATGGGTCGATGATGGGCCTTCCCCTCTACTCTTCGCCACTTAACTACTAGATTTCTGTCAGGGGCATGGTTCAAACCTATGATGCACACCTAACTCAGACATCACCCGTTCCGCTCTTTCCACTTGAGCTAAGCTCTTGGGCGAACAAATGATCTTATTTCATACATTAGGAAACAGAAATAGGACTTAATGGATAACAAGATGTCAACAGCAATAACGTCTTCCTCCATTTTGATCAACAATTTAAAATGTCTTTCTTGGTTTTGGAAAATTGGCATTGTTGTTACTATCAATATACACTATATCATTATAAAGGAAATTTATAGCATTCAAAGAAAAGAAATGGTAGAAGAGCACAGTATATTTTTGTCCTCTTGAAAGGGTTCTGTTCACTTTTTTTCCTGAACAAATGAAAAGGTTGCTATGCATTTATTTTTAGGCAAGAGATGAGGGGGAAAAATTTCGTTTGAGTATTATGATTTCCGCAATCTTTCATTGATAAACTTTCAACTTGGTTGACAGATTGCTGAAGTTATATCTGAAAAATGGATTCAGATACAACGACTTGAACAAGCTGTTCAAATGGCAGAGGTATCCTCTAGTTTGCACCTTGGCTTGAATTGACCATTAAAACTATAATAAAGTTGCATCCATAGCTAAATCAGAATGTTATATGTCAGATGAGAACGCAAAAGGTCAAAAGGCAAGTAACGTTCAGTAAATGTCCATTTGTCAAGGTACTGGAAGTCATAGAATTTTCCTAGCTTGCCAACTCCTTTGGAACATCGTATATGCAGATGGCCATGATTACTCTTGGCAGCATCTTTGAAGAGACTAACACTCTTATCTCTCCAGTTCATCAAAAACGTTTTCGGCCACCACCTTGAAACGTTGAAAGGAATTCTGCATCCATATGGATCATACAGTGCGGCTGATCCTAATTCCTACTGGTCTCAAATGTTGCATCACATGCAGGGGGCTTTTTCATCTGCAAAACAATACCATTACAAGGTACTAAAATTTCCTTAATTAGGAGGGTGGGATTGATTAGTGGTCTTGTGCTGGTTAATCACTTGAATGAGCAATGTCAGAATAAGTATTTTTGTTTGACATTTAAGTTGGTAACTGGAGTATGTTTGAAGTAGGGTCCGCTACAATCTTTAAATTCTTCTGTACCTTTGGGGTAAGATGGATATACATACTTGTATAGATGACCTAGACTTTCCGGAGCTTAGTGTACATGGAGGTACCACTTTTGTATGGTTATCACCTTTGCTACTTCGTTAATTATTAATGTAATACTGATTTCTTACAATATATGTGTGTATGCGAGCTCCTCGCACCCACAACACACACATACACACACATATTCATATGATAATCAAGTTAGCAACTGGAAAATGGGAAACCTCACCCTGATTATTTAGTTGTTGTTTGTTGTACATCCTCAGAACATTGATCTGACAACTTCCGTACTATGCAGCTGCAGAGGTTTGTAAAGCAGGAAATAGAAAGGAACGATTTCCCTATGGCTTTAGCTAATGAAGAAGTAGTGTTTTTAGTAGTAAGAATCTAGATGCTGACGCGTTTGTGAATTCCATTTCTCTTTGCATGTCAATATATAATTATCTAACTTCTGTCCTCGTTATGGAAATTTTGTCACAGGCCTCAGCTTTGATCGTGTTTCCAATTTTAAGTGCATTCATGTTTCTCTTCTCACACTTAAGCTAGGCCTGCGGAGCAACTATTGATTTACCAAATCATTAGCACATGGCAGCCAGGATATATGCATGTAAAGAAACAAATCATCAACATGTGAAATTGTTGATCTCTAGTAAAATTTTGGATATAATTCCATTTCACCTTATGATTAGTCTTGGTGCTCTTCCTAAAAGATTGTATGATAATGCTAATGAAATGTTGATTCCAACACATGAGCTGATTGTACGTTTCTGCCTTTTTTATATATTGGTATGGTGTAAATATTCGATGGAGATACAATTTTATGGTTTTTCCAATCAAAGTTTATACACTCAATACTCAGGAGGGCCCAATTTTGTAATATTCATAACCTATAAGGGTCAAACTGAAATTATTCCAAAAAACACCACTTGCTCTTTCTACCACATCCACATTTTTTTCATCTTCAAACCTAAGGATAACACACTATGCTCTCAACAAGATAACAAAACATAAAAATGGAAGACACAACATGGAACCAAAGAATTCAAGCATTAACACACATCATACTTAATCCCACAACTAAACCATCTTTTGAATCCCAAATCTTCATTTCTAACCAAATCCCCTGTTACCTCAATTGGGACTATCCCCCAATTCTGTGCACCAAAATCACCTTCCCTTCTGTATATCTGAAATGGGCTTTCTCATATTACCTGAAATGGATCTCAAGACTTGGTGCACCTGAAACTTCTTGGAGATCCAAATGCCCATATCAACAACCCCCTCCATTGATACTGGCAAAGGGAGTGGAGGAAGCTCAATGGGGAGACGAAGAAAGAAGACAGTTTGTGAGGAAAAGGTTTAAAAAGAGAATATATAGCAGGGAAGGGAACATTTTTGTTCTAGCTATTTTACCTAATATATTGGCACTCTTGTTTATCTTTCGTAACCCTTATCTCAAATTCATGAAGTAGATTCTTGAATTTGACAACTTATTTTTTGTCATCATAGGGTTTTGTTTTTCTTTAGTAACAATATACTCTGTTTACGCAACCTCGTGAGAAAGGTAGAAATTGGAGGATATATGTTGATCCTAATTGGAAGTTGTATGTTTCTTTTTGCATATCAATGGTTAAAATAACATAATTGATGTTCCACAAAGCAACACTTTGAATTAGATGAATAAGCAAATGAAAAGTACCTAATAAAGAAATGGGAGGAGCTGAAAAGTTGAAGAAAAGCAAAGAGTTCCATTTTTACATTCAAATCCATTTGCTTATGCAAATTTATGTTCCTAGTAATGATTTTTTTTTAAAAAAAAAAATCGACATTTACTATATATACATAAAATTATAATTTGACCTTGTAGTAATTTTTCAACGAATGAACTCTTTACACTAATGCTGCTCTGGCATAATATTGGTGAGGAAAACATTTCCACAATCTTTTTCTTATCGACCTGTCAATCAATTTTGTTAGGGGATCCATAAGTTAAAATAGATATATATATATATTTATTTAATTTTCTAATACAAATACATGATCTACAAAAATTCTACTGAATTTGTCCGAATTCATAAAACTCGACCCTACTTGGCTCCACCTATCATGAATAGGTATGGATATCAACTAATTTCTACATGTGAGATGGAAGGCATCTTTGGTTTGGAGTGCTATTCCCCAATAAGTTGTTTTCTCCTCTCCTCACCTTGTCGATAGATATGGTACAAATTTAAGAATAATGCAAGAAATTAATAACTCATAATCGTACAGACTTTTTTAGATTCGAGGTGAAATAATTTGAGCATCCAATTAGCAATGCTAGAGTATAAGATTAGACATTAAAAGATTAATTGTTCACGAAGGATATGATATGAATATAACATTAATCCAATTTAATCAAGAAAACAAGACACGGTTTCTAGCTTAATAGTATTGAAATAGACAGACACAAGTGAACATTAGTTGAAATTTGAAGGCACCCAATAAATCCAACTAACCAATAACATCGATCAGTTGAGGATGTTATAGTAATTCAATTTATATATGACAATAAAAAAAAATATTTCTATGAATTAGACGTTCAGGCCTCTAAACTTATCGATACGATCGAGTTTGTATGGATACGATAGTTTCCATTTGAGTTAAGGAAATGTGAACCTCTAATGGTGACCTTGCATGTGAGTTTCTCTTCAATTTAAGAGGACCTGCACATGCTCTTAAATAGTGAAAAAGACATTCTTTCTATGCAACTTGTCACACCCCAATCCTCCATTATTTTGCCTTGTCATTCGATTTATCTTTATATTATAAGAAATCGAAATTTTATTTGTCACCGTACTTAATAAAAATGACTCACATATGCTAATCGTTAAAAAGGGTGAGCGATGGTTAATAATCGAGGGTACAGATATGAACGTGTGAGCTGATTACTGAAGTTATAATTTTTCTCATATATAAATGAAAGTAAATCATATCAGTTGATAGAATAAAATCAAACAAAAAAAAACGTTTTTATAATACTTCTTGTACAATTTAAAATAAAACATTAGGCAGTTGATCGAATAAAACCAAAAAAGAGAAACGTTTTTATAATACTTTTTATACAATTTAAAATAAAATATTAGTCAAAAAACTTTATTATACGTGTAAAATAAATCAATTAAGTTGATAACTCGGACTATTATTTATTCTAGAGCTGCAAGACTTGATTCTCATAGGGTCCTATAGTGTCCCCTACCCAAAAGTAATATTTTTTTATAAAATAAACCAAAGTTTTAATTTGCATATTATTGCACGCGTAATTAGACACTTGATTAATTAATGCTTCATAAGTTCATATATATATATATATATATATATATATATATATATATATATATATATATATATA